TGGGATAAATTACCTAAATTTGATCCTCAGGATCCACAAGATGGGAGGAAAGAAACAATTCCCAAATACTGTCCTCTGACTTTATGAGCACCAAGGCTCATGTTCATACACACACACACACACACACACACACACACACACACACACACACACTCACACAGTCATTTAAATTACATATATTTAAATGAAACAGAAAAAAAGAATTTCACCTCAAAATGTCATCACTTTATTATTTACTTATTTATTGAGATGGGAGTTCTTGCTGTGTAGTCCAGGCTGGCCTGGAATTCACCCATCTTTCTGCCTGAGCTCTAGATGGCAGACTTGGGGCACCACACTGCTGTGTGCTTTTCTTCCAGGACTCAATCTATTGTCTAAGTTTCTTTTTCTCTTTGGTTTTTTTCAGACAGGGTTTCTCTGTGTAGCCCTGGCTGTCCTGGAACTCTCTCAGTAGACCATGCTGATCTGGAAAGAGATCTGCCTGCCTCTGCCCCCAGGGTGTAAGGATTAAAAATGGTGAGCAACCCCATGCCTGGTTTATTGTCTGAATTTCAAAGAGATCCCTTAATGACTAGGCCAAGAAGTTGATCTTCTAAAGATTTGCAGTGGTGCTCCAGATTATGAAATTATTACATATTTCGGGAGTAGCACATTTTGGACACGAGTACGGTGTAAAGGGACCAGCAGTTTGCAAATCTAAACACTTGCTGCATTTTTGAGCAGATAAACCAAAGGCTGAAGCGGAGGCTGGAAGTAGCACTTTTTAAGTACTCTACCAGGGAGTCTCCTTTATCTGTAATCCTTTTTGTGGTCTAGGACACACTCTCCTTGTAAACTCTTTGTAAACTTATCTCAGGCTGGACTGTAAACTACAGATAGGAAGAAAAGGGTGTGAATGTTTGCAGTTTTAACCGAACTCCTTTTATTTGCTATGCGTTGCAACAATCCTCTAACAGCAATAATGGCGATAAACACGCTAGTTAATCTACAATCTGACCATTGGTCATTGGTTTCTATTTTCCCTCCCATCGGCTCAACTTACTAAGCGTGGGAAGCTCTTTGCTTGGCTCGAGCGTTGCCTGTGAAGATCTTTTTTTTTTTCTTAAGAAATGCATTTTACATGAAAGTACTTCCTTTGTAAAGCATTTCCGTGGCTGCGCAAAACACTATATGGTTTCTAGCGGAGACCAAAACCTACGTTTCACCGCCAGAAGGAACGTTTTTGGTGTAAGGGCTAACCCTTCCGACCTTGTACGGCGTGGCTGACGGTCGGTCAAGGTTAGGGGGGGAGGGCGACCCGCCAGCTGCAGCGACACCGCGGGGGGAGGGGTGCGGCGGAGAAAGGCCTGGCCAATCGCGTGCGCCCTCCCGACACCTGCCGCCTTGGCGCCTTTTCTCTTGAACCCGGCGCCGCACGCACGAGCTGCGCGCGCATCCCGCCTCCAGCGGTCTTGCCGAGAGCACCTCGGTAGGTGTACGTGCGGCCGGAAGTGGCGTACCGGAGAGGGGCGGGGCCGGGCTATAAGCTTGGGCTGGGAGGCTGCGGTCCCAGCAGGGGGCGGGTGGGGCGC